GCGAAAAAAACAAGGTTTTTGAAAACAGGATGGCGGTATCCAAGAAACCACTTTTTGTGTTCAATCTGAAATCCTAATCCTTCGTTCACTTTTGATGAAAAATGAACAATTATGTTCCTTTAAGTAAACAGATTGAAAGAAGAAGACTGATTGTGGTTTTGTGGGGTTGGCCATATTGTTTTCAAAAACCTGACTGCTGTTTGTTTTAAGTGATTGAAGAGATTAGTATATTGATTTAATAAATATTTTATTATTTGTAGCCAATCTGAGATGTAGAAGTGTTGTAAATCCTTAGGCACATACTGGCACACTTTTCTAGTGGTGAGTACCCTAGCCCCCAGTAGTGCTGCGGGATTGTAGCTCACCTGGATATGTAGTCTACAGACTAGTGAGTGAATGAGTATGGTTTCATGCCGCTTTCAGCAATATTCTAGCAATATCATGGCAGGGGACACCAGAAATGGGCTTCACACATTGTACCCATGTCAGGAATCGAAACCCAGGTCTTCGGCGTGACGAGCGAAAGTTTCAACCACTAGGCTACCCGATCGTCCCAGTCTACAGGCTAAAGGACAGACACTTAACAAAACATACATGCCAAAGCTCAGTTCCCTCATGCTGTGAATTCCAGGGTAGAAGATATTAGAGGGCCAAAAATGCATTGTGAGAATTTAAAACAAGATCAAAATTTACAATTTTGTCAAAAACAGTAAATGAGTTGATTCCCACAATCAACTAAACAAATGTTACATTTTGCAGACAAAATGGCCATAAAAAGATTTTCAATATGGCTGCTGTGGCGGCCATAGTTAAATTTGATTCCAAAAGCTTAAGCAAATTCAGGTGTAATCATTGGTTGGAACAAACATGAAGTTTCAGCCTCAATGGTTTAGCAGTTTCTGAAGACAAGACACGACCGACTTCAAGGACAGACCCCAGACAAACAGGCCATGACATAAGCTGACTTGAATTTTGGTCAGGTGAGCTAAGAGTATATATAAATTGATGAACAGATACGGGGATGCCACAACTAGGCAGGATTGGCATTAAGTGCTTATTCCACTTCCACTATAAACAACTATACACAAGAGCAATGTGCCCGGTCAGCTAATGATGGAAGTGCTCTGGAGTTGCTGCCCCAACCCTTGACCTGACCCTCCTTGTCTGGACGAACACTCATTACGATGCTACGAAACTATGGCATAACATCAACACATCGGTAAAGTAAAATACAACAACTTATGTAGCCACAAAGGTCATACTGCTCTGATATGCCTTGGTCCCATTCCACGAAGTGATCTTAGCGCTAAGGTGATTGTAACTCCCATACTTTAACATAGGTTACGACAGTTGTAGCATACTGCTCTGATATGCCTTGGTCCCATTCCACGAAGTGATCTTAGCGCTAAGGTGATTGTAACTCCCATACTTTAACATAGGTTACAACAGTTGTAGCATACTGCTCTGATATGCCTTGGTCCCATTCCACGAAGTGATCTTAGCGCTAAGGTGATTGTAACTCCCATACTTTAACATAGGTTACGACAGTTGTAGCATACTGCTCTGATATGCCTTGGTCCCATTCCACGAAGTGATCTTAGCGCTAAGGTGATTGTAACTCCCATACTTTAACATAGGTTACGACAGTTGTAGCATACTGCTCTGATATGCCTTGGTCCCATTCCACGAAGTGATCTTAGCGCTAAGGTGATTGTAACTCCCATACTTTAACATAGGTTACGACAGTTGTAGCATACTGCTCTGATATGCCTGGGTTCCATTCCACGAAGTGATCTTAGCGCTAAGGTGATTGTAATTCCCATACTTCAACATAGGTTACGACAGTTGTAGCGCTACGATTGCTTTATGGAATGGGATCCTGGATATCCATGTTTGCAGAAATGGGACATCACAGTTAGTTTATACTTATATAAGCTTCAAATGAGGAAATGTTATATGTAGATGTTGCAGTACTGACATAGAAGTAGTTGTCATGTAAGTATTGTGAACAGTGCCCTATAACATCATAGTAGTTGTCATGAAGGTAGTTTGAACATGCATCTAAATCACCTGCATTGGTCATTGTGGTCATTGGACAATTCATTTAATTCACAAGCACTTGTCACGGGAGTAGTCTGAACAATGCACTTGAATCACAAGTAGTTGTCATGGATGTAGTCTGAACAATGTTCTTAACTCACAAGTAGTTGTCATGGAAATAGTATGAACAATGCCCTTAACTCACAAGTAGTTGTCATGGAAATAGTATGAACAATGCCCTTAACTCACAAGTACTTGTCACGGACGTAGTCTGAACAACGCACTTGAATCACAAGTAGTTGTCACGTAAGTAGTCTGAACAATGCCCTTAACTCACAAGTAGTTGTCATGGAAATAGTCTGAACAATGCCCTTAACTCACAAGTAGTTGTTACGGACGTAGTCTGAACAACGCACTTGAATCACAAGTAGTTGTCACGTAAGTAGTCTGAACAATGCCCTTAACTCACAAGTACTTGTCACGGACGTAGTCTGAACAACGCACTTGAATCACAAGTAGTTGTCACGTAAGTAGTCTGAACAATGCCCTTAACTCACAAGTAGTTGTCATGGAAATAGTATGAACAATGCCCTTAACTCACAAGTACTTGTCACGGACGTAGTCTGAACAACGCACTTGAATCACAAGTAGTTGTCACGTAAGTAGTCTGAACAATGCCCTTAACTCACAAGTAGTTGTCACGGACGTAGTCTGAACAACGCACTTGAATCACAAGTAGTTGTCACGTAAGTAGTCTGAACAATGCCCTTAACTCACAAGTAGTTGTCATGGAAATAGTATGAACAATGCCCTTGACTCACAAGTACTTGTCACGGACGTAGTCTGAACAACGCACTTGAATCACAAGTAGTTGTCACGTAAGTAGTCTGAACAATGCCCTTAACTCACAAGTAGTTGTCATGGAAATAGTCTGAACAATGCCCTTAACTCAAGACACTGCTTATAACAGTTTAGAAATGGAAAAAGTTGGAAGAATGATTTTGAATGATAAAAATAGAATCTCACCCTGATGTCTTTTGATTTCAAATAAAAAAACATGCATGGACATATGATTTAAAGATTTATATCGACTTGTGTTGATTTGGGTGAGAGTTTTCTATTTCTCAATCAACCTAATTCATCCATTATTCCTCCTAGTTAAGTATTTTATGAAAAATACTTTGTTAATTTAACCATCTCACCTTCCTTTTGCACCCTATTATTCTCCATAAACCTGACTCACACATTTCTTTTATGATTTATATATCCTCTGTACTAGGATATGTAAAGATTACAGTTTGTAAATTATTATTTTTAAAAACTTTTGTAGTAACATCTTTTCAGTTTGCTAATCCATAAAATTAAATAATGCACATGCAAATTTTAATTTAAATAAATTTAATACTTCTTTCAACTGGTGGCAAAGTGATAAATACAGCTTTTCAAAATGTCAGATGTACATGTAACCCTATTTCAGGGGCGGGTTGAGTGTGTGAGTGTGTGTGTGTGTGTGTGTGTGTGTGGGGGGGGGGGGGGGGTAGTAAGTAGTGGGGGTGAGGGAGGGTGATGTATTACCTGACAAAATGAGCATGCACGCCACTCAGGATCTGCCAGTGTCTCTGACCCATCATAAAGAGGAGTGAATTTTCTCCTAAGCACCATGTCCCACCTGTGCTCTCATATAATGAATTGATTTTTCAAGTGGAGTGTTAAATCTATCGATTTTGGTTTTTACATAAGAATATCAAATCCCAGCCATAATCTTCTACTTGTGACTAAACTAAATATTAAGCCTGTAAAATGTTGCAGCTTCACCGACAACGTTCTTAAAATGGTGTTGCCTGCGTCGTAGAGGCAGTGCTGTTAGTCGGCAGACAACCGTCAACGTGCGCCGAGTCGAATGACACAATACACTACACGCACGAAGAACAAAGAAACATTGGGGCAGGTGAAAAACGTGTTGAGAATCTGAGCGTATCTCCGCTAAGAACTCCCGACACCTCTCTTTGATAGCACTGCATGCTGGAAATGCCAATCCTGACTCTGATATCTATCAGTGCACCGTGTCAGGAGCATACATAGGCGATAATCTGTCAGTTGGTATATACACAGTGAAAGTGTACCATCCCACCATGGCTCGAGTCGCGATACCGTCACGCACCCTCCAATCTCTCGCACACACGCGTGACAACGCTGAAGCTAGCTTCACACACACACGTGCTTTACTGCCTCACATTTCGATATTGCGATAACTTATGAAGAAAATGTTTACATACGATCAGATGTAAAGGTGGATTTTAAACAACACTGCTCGAATTGTTGACATTCCATTCCCACACAAACAATGGCACGACTTTAGTAATTGGACCAGATCGCAACTCCCACCCGCTGTTTCCCACGATGAGGAGAGTTGTACACTCCACATCGTCTCAGGTCTATCATGGTGAATAAGATATTGAGACAGCTAGTGTATTGTATTTATTCTTTTAGAAACGTGAGCCCGTTACCGAAATTTATTTCGCGTACGATAAATAAACCAGTGAGTGCTTACTAGGGCGAGATGACCTAACCGAAAAGGAGAATTCTTCTTCCAACTTTAACTTTACCTCCTGTTCTTCGAATCAGTGTGCAAGTACTATTTAACAACGGAAATAACAGTTAAACTTCCCCATGTTGGTCTTACACACGAGAATGGAAAGCAACAGGCCTTAGGACGCCGATGTGAACTAAATTATGCGGCCTATCTACTACGCGAATCTGGCATGTAACTCATAAAACATAACGGTAAAAATACCAAACCGTTTGTGAGCGTTTTGGCTCATCTACAATTTGACTGGCAGCTGTCAGACCGCACGAGACACGCGGATGTTGACAGTCTGACTAGGAATGTGACTTAGCACTTGATGAATGGCACTGCCGGGTGTCGGGGAACGGAGGGGGAGAGGGTGGGGGTAACCTACCTTCCTGTCCCGGTCCTGGTACGGTAGAGCCAGCCACGGCATCGTGGAGAAATATTCCGTGAAACACGCTAAATCTTTGTCCCAACTTACAAACACAATTTCTAGGGTACATCCTTTCTCTGAGCTTTTGAAGTTTTTATAAAATTCCGCAAGCTTTGGCGTGAATCCTTTGCAAGGCGGGCACCATTGTGCTGAGAAATAAAACCCGATCACTTTGTCTTTCCCACATAGCGTCCTGACCCCCACGGCTTCGCCCGACCCCCTGATGACTCGCTCTCCAAGAAGTGCCTCAAGTCGAGTCGCCATCGTAACCTCCGTCATCCAAAGCCCGGCCGGCCGGTTCCCTGTCTCACTCAAGTCAATAACTGGCAAGTCTGTCTACAGGAGAGGGAGAGAGAGAGATCGAGAGAGAGAGAGGTGACCCGATGCTAAAAATACTGACGGGATTTGCATACGGGATAGACTGTACGGTGAGCCGGCAGGGACATCACAGCTAGGAAATGAGAACGTTGGCGCTGTTTTTTCTACCTGGTCTGCGGCGCGGTGGGGTGAACTGGATGGGAGGCTGTGTTTTTTTTATTGTTGTGCAAAGCCTTAATTTAAAATATTCCAGCTTTATGACAGCGGTCTGTAAATAACTGACTCTGGACCATACAATCTGGTGATTGATATTGACGCAACGTCCCATATGCTGTCGGGGTACGATGACACGCAATTTACGAAATCACCGTGCCTGGCCACCCGATCCACTTTGTCGCCTCATACGACCAGCATAGGATGCTTGGGACCTATGTTTACCCGGAATGCTACGGAATTAAATTAAATAGTGAACGAAGACGAGTTAACACCAGACAGTTTTCAAGTCGGTAGCGGATTCTGGTGCTCCATAGTTTTGTTTGTATTGGTACTTTTCATTCATTATATTTATACTGCACGCTAAGACCAAACCAATTCTGGATTTTTGCTTCTGGTGTAATATAGGGGTCGATCATTTGATATGAGATCGATGCCATGCATCAACCAAGTCAGCGAGCCTGACCACCTGATCCCGTTAGTCGCAGCTTGTCGTAAGAGGTGACTAACGGGATCAAGTGGTCAGGCTCGCTGACTTGGTTGATGCATGTCATCGATCTCAATTGCGTGGATCGGTGCTCATGATATCAATCACTGGATTGTCTGGTCCATATTCAATTATTCACAGACATATAGCTGGAATATTATTGCTGAGTGCGGCGTTAAACAACAAACACATTTGATATTCATGGGAGGGGGAAGCATTATTCTTTTTTTTTCTTGTTCCCCCCGAAAATGGTGACAAATACTAATTAACAATCTCCGTTGGCTAGTGGGAGAGCGGTTTAAAGATGGTAAGTGTTGTTACCCTGCCTGTGCATGCATGTCGCTATATAAGTGAAAATAATCTTGGACGTGACGTTGAACCCCATTTCACCTCACAGTGACATATAATGGATAGCGTCATCGATGCCATAAACCAATCAGATAAATATGCAAATGAGATCACCTAGGAGGAACTACTTTTAGCTCCGTACATCGACGCAGTGTCTGCTTACTCAATAAGTTGAAGTGAAATGGGGTTTAACGTCGCGTCCAAGATTATTGCACTTATATAGCGACGTGCATGCACGTGTGTGTGTTTGTTGCTGCTTGTACTAGTCCGGACTGATGCCGATTTATAGTGCTAGCACACTGAGATACCATGCCACAGTTTAACATGAATACCCCACTCAGACACAGTATACTGACTCCGAGCCGACCAGTCCTTGTTTTAGCCCCTTAATACCGAGCGCCAGACAGGGTAACAACAAGTACCGCTCTCCGGGCGGACGCTCTACCACAAGCTCACGGAGGCGGCCTTACTCAATAAACTATTAACTAAAATTCCCAGTGTGTTTAAATAGGGGCGGTTCACTCAAATAATATATTCATACTGCGGTTATTAAAGTTGTTTCATTGAGTAAAATTAAGACTTTAACATCATTTGTTCCAAGAAGGACATTATATATGATAGAGAGATTATTTCCCCCATGTGTTTCCGTATCGTAAATATCACATAAGGAATAAGAGTTGTATTGCGCAAGCTAGTGTTTATTCCTCATATATGATATTTACGGTATGGAAACCCACTCGGCTAATAATCTCTATGTATTAAGATAAGTAGATAAATTAGAGATTATTATATGAGGGTGTGTCAACGATTCATGTTTAGATGCTTTGTTCATGTATGCCAGGCCACATGGTCAAAGGGACGATTGATTTTAACAAGAGGTACTTGAGTGCACTTGAATATATTCAAACCACAAGGGGCGGTGAGGTAGCTTAGTGCTTTGGTTAACGCGTTCGCTCGTCACGCCGAAGCGCCGGATTCGAAACCGATCATGATCCCCCCCCCCCCCCCCCCCCCCGGCTCTAAAAACATAACTAGAATCTGTACTTTACTAAGAGAAGAAAGTGTAATCACAATTATAACATTTGTTACATTTCACTACTTTCTAAATGGCACGGTGTATTCATACCCTTTCTCGCTTGACTGTAAAAAATTGTAATTTCACCCGGCACATGGAGGATTGTTTAGGCAGGATTTTAGACCCCAAGGGCTTCCGGACCGCATCGTTATAGTCTTTACATACGACATTCAATAATAAGTTCAATATTTCTGACTTTAATGATGTTGTCATCTGACACAATAGCAACGAGTAGAAAACAAGGTGTTTTTCAGTATAAAAACATCATTTTTTACTTTTAACTTTTGTGTCAATATTAGCTTGACCAGGCTATGTTAGGATTTGTATCAATGTAATACCTTTGTGTGATGAATATATTATAGGATATTTAGCAAAACAGAAACTGTACGAGTTGATGGTAGTTGGCTGCGTGAACAGATTTGCTGTCAACGTTGTTGGATTAATACAGTCTGGGTAATTAGTATTTGAACAGATTTTTAAAACAGCAGTGACATTGATAAAAACTGATCTGATAAAAACATTTTAAGACGTGTCGTTAGTCCTCGTATTCTCTCATAGTATTTCAATTGCATTGTTTTGGCCGAAGACAGCTTCAAACGAGCTGACATGCTTTTATGCGGGTGCAGGCCAAAACGGCACCTCAGCATAATAATCATGAAACATCTCTTCTAAAAGCAATGTCCATTGTGCGATTCCGACTATATTATGTTTGATTGTTTGTTGTGTAATGCCGCACTCAGCAATATTCCAGTTGAATATTATCATAAGTTTTTCCAATATTCCAATATTCGTATGTAAATACTATAACGATTATGTTCCAGTTATACCAATATTCCGTCTATGTCATACGCCTTTTTTGATGAATCACTATCAAATAGTGATGATACCAGGTGTTCGCGAAAAGGTGAGCATATCCTACTCCACCGGTGGCACCCGTTGCAAACACATGCAAAGGCAGGTCAAATGTTTACCTGAAAAAAAATATTGCTTTGGTCATAATTTTTGTTATTGATGCGTCGAATTTGGAAATGTCCTCTACCATAACATTTTGTGGGTGTTATCAATTAAGAAGTCCAGCATTTCACATATTGTTTTCTCAATAAACTTAGATGACATTTACTTTCATTTTAGATAAATAATGTTCTGAACGTCTGAAGATAGAGATGTAACTGACCGCCTTTGTGGTCTAGTGGTAGAGCGTCCGCCAGGAGAGCGGAAGGTCTGGGGTTCGATCCCACGCCGCGTCATACCAAAAGACGTTAAAAGATGGTACTTGTTGTTACCCTGTCTGGTGCTCGCCATTAAGGGGCTAAAACAAGGACTGGTAGACTAAGAGTCAGTATACTGTGTCTGAGTGGGGTATTCATGTTAAACGGTGGCGTGATATCTCAGTGTGCTAGCACTATAAATCGGCATCATTCCGGACTAGTACAAGCAGCCACACACACACACACACACACACACACACACACACACACACAGCGCGCGCACGTCGCTATATATGTGCAATAATCTTGGACTCGACGTTAAACCCCATTTCACCTCACCTAGAGATGTAACTATGGTCGCCACGCTTAGTTACGCCCGTCCCGTGGATCGATCAAGGAATTACGTTTTCCCTTAAGATTGTCATGTGGGATGTTTATGTGGAAAAGTTGAAGAATCAAATGTTTTGACATAATTGAACTGGGTTCTTTTGGGGGCATTGTAGAAATTCAAGCAAATCCTTTGACGTTTTGAGAATCCACATGGTATTAATTCCACTTGTCTCAAATACTTTCTGTGATGCGTTGTTTTTTTCGGATTTCGTCCTCAGTTAACTTACTAGCCTTATCCTAGTGTGTGGCATTATTTGATGTGTCACTTTAACCAAGTTCTTTCAATGGTCTTTAGTACCAATTTGACATAATTCATTTTCTTTCATATAACCGTGGACATCGAGACAACTGATTAGTCATGTGTGTCACTAACACCAGCTTTAGCACCCACGACAAGAAACATGATTTAATCTGTGAATAATGTCTGAAGACGTGCGAGTCTAAATATGGAATATCACTGCATGTGAAAAGAATTCACTGTAATCAGTAATAGCAGGTCCGTGGTAATAGCAATGAAAAATGGCTTCCGTCGTTCCTAGAATGATAAACATCCTGAACCATTCGTGACCAACTCGTGTTATTCCGGGACAAGCCGAATAGCGACTCGTCCCCTCTCATGGCCATTTTTGCGACCGGGTTCCGTCTTAGCGCAAACGGGCATACCTAAAACAATTTTCAACTATTTGCGTTATGGTTCACATATATTCCCCATATATTATATATATTTCAGATGCAAGATACAGCACATCGGGACATGCGGAATTATACAGTATGATTGAACACATTTAACTGTGTCTTTGGTATATTTTAAGATGCAAGACATATATATATATAAAATATATTTCTGAGGGATTGTTTGACGAAGAACTTGAAATCATACGAGCATTCTGATTGGTTTGTCGTATTTTCGCACATAACATTCATCGATAGGGGGACGAGTCGTTTTGCAGGTTACGGAAAGGGGCGAGTGGTGACGAATCATCCTGAACATGACCTCATATTTGGCCTGTCGGCTCTCTGAAAGGCAGGACCAAAGTCTCATACAGACCCTGAAACAAATATATCAAATACAGCCCATGTTTGGCAAGTCTAGATTACTGCAGGATCTGAAAATGAAGAAAGTCTCTGGGCTCCTTTTTATTATATTTTATAACTATAATTTAACAACTGTTTTTTTCTGTAAAATATGTTCATTTCAGAGACTAGATGTTAGTCTAGAACAAAGTGTAAATGAGATTTTGTCAAACTAAAACAACCACTACAGTCAGCTTATATTAAACCTTAACAACCTAGACACTGTTAAACCAACTACCATGAACTCGTACTGTCTTTTGT